CAAGTCCATTTGTCGAGTGTGATCAACAGTAGACGATTCGGTTCGATTTTTCTTTTATTTTCTTCTACTCCATTGTATCCGATTATTTCTGAATTTCAATAAAGAACTTACAATCTTAACAATACTCTATTGATTACTATAAGAACTATATTTTATGATAAATATGCTAGAAAACCTTTATTAGTAAAGACCGCGGGGTATTCATATAAGGTATGCTAAACGTTAATCATACCTGAATTCCTCATATAAAAAAACTCAAAAAAGAACTGGTCACTAGCTCCAATTCAACGAGGAGAACTAGTGAACATCTCTAGTTCAAATGAAGGGAACTGGTTACAAGCTCCAGCTCAAATGAAAAGAATCGGCCACCAGCTCCAGTTCGAATGAAGGGAACTGGTGAACAGCTCCAGCTCGAATGAAAGGAACTGGTGCACAGCTCCAGCTCGAATGAAAGGAACTGGTGAATAGCTCCACTTCAAATGAAGGGAACTGGTGAATAGCTCCAGTTCAAATGAAAGGAACTAGTGAATAGCTCCAGTTCAAATGAAAGAAATGTTCTCGAACAACTCCAATTCATTGAGCGGAGATGGAGTTGTCACATACCTACTTTCTTCATCCATTCGCATCATCCATTCATAACCAAGGTTATGTAATAAATCAGGAATTACTGTTGAATACAAACGAATCATCTGTCGATATCCAATTTTGAACGAATTTTCATACTGTAAATCTATTTTTTGATTAATACATTCTGGTATATAATCCCAATATGGTCCAGCTATTTCGAAAAATCGAAGATTTTTTCGAGTCCCATTTCGAGAAAGAATTGCGCGATCATCATCATTGAATGCATTCTTATTCGTCAAAAGAAGAATGTCTGCATTATATATTGCAGAATAATGCTGGAACAGCATATCAAGACTTTTTTGGGTATTGACAAAAACATCACGTTTATATACTGTATGACTTTGTTTTTGAGTAAGATAGACAATAACATCAGGTCTATCTGTAGAAGAGCGTGCCTGACGATATTGTTGAAATAGTTCTTTTTCACATGTGATCAAAGAAATGGACTTTCTTGTACTTTGCAATTCGTCGGTTAAATATAAAAGTTCTCGTAGCTTTAATTTTCTTTGATATGTACCGGCAAGAAATTCTTGTGTACACCAACTTGCATTGTAATACGGATAAGTTTTTTGCGATAGATTGAGAGGACAGTTCCATGAAATACTAACGACTCTCTCGGATTTCCCAATTATTGGCAAAGATGTCAAGATATTTTTTAAGTAATTTGGTTGTACGAGTTCAAAAATCAGCAAAATTAAGGTAAAATATAAAATGATGAGATAAATGCCTTTTTGCCAACATTGTTTTATGTTCATTTTATTGATAAGATCTTACTTAAATGAATAGATTAAAAGTAGAAAATGAATTCTCTAAAATAAATAATATGTCATTTGAATAGTTTATGAATGAACAATTATAGAACTCATATCGATATTGATAAATTATATTTGATTAAAATAATTCTTCTCGTCCAGTATAATCGGAAAAGAAATCAGAAAATATATCTCCTGTCTCAAATTTATTGCGTCTAGTTAAAAAGAAAAATCAAAGAAGCAAACAAACAGTCATCTAGTTATCGATTAATAGAAAAGAACGGAGAAAGGTAGACATTTTTTATATACATTGTTAACAAAATAAAGTTAGAAAATGATTGATAGGAGTCGTAGTACGATATTTCCGCGAGCGACATTTCACCATACGACAAATACGCTCAATACTTTTACAGAAAATTTTCTGATAGAATGAATGCAAGAGCAACTAAATGTTTTCATTGCTCAAGGATTAACATCATTATTATCATATAAAATAAACTTTTGATGCGTAATAGTAACTTGAAAGTTTTAGATTCTGATGGAATATTATCATCTCTTCTTATACTGTTAATAACATGCATTGACACATTGTAGTAAAAACTAGTAATAGTAGCATATGAAGATAATTTAAATCAAGCTTCATGTACTATTAATCTTGATGAATCATTTATTTCTTTTCATTATGGAAACAATTATACTTCTCCACTCATTATTATCTGATTCAATTATTTCATATGATCTCCGGTTTCATCTAAGTTAAGTGAACAGAAAAAGAACATCCTTTTTTTATCAGTAATCACAAGCTTATTCATCAAATAGAAATTAAAAAAAAACTTTTCACGTATATGTCGTCCGCTGAAATGTTCGCTGCGGTGATAACACGCGCGGAAATGCTGTGGAACCCGATATTATATTTAATAGAAATGTGTCCAATTTAAAATGCATTAAGAAATACGTAATTACATGAATAAAGAAGTTTTCAGGTCGTGCATTGTTGCATTGCAATTGTTCTCCAAGTTATTTCCTACATTAGAGAAATAACGGCTATATAGTAAAAATCAGTTTTTATCAATTTCCGATAGAATAGTTACTATTTGGGTATCATAAACAGTGGATAATTATAATCGTTGTATCTTTATTCGATTTTATCTATAGTAATGAACTTATTGTTTTATACTTTGAGTTTTCTATCAGTATCTAAAAAATATTTCTCTGATTAACTTCAACATTATATTGTGTATTTCCAGATATATCAAAACTATAACTTAGTATTATTTACACATGCAACTGACACCAACTACGTAAGTCTTTAT